TGGAGGCGGCAGCGCGGAGCGGGGGGAGGTTTTGGTGAAGTGGCAGAGCTCGCTCTCCGCCTCTCTGTCCCCCCTCGACCCGCGGAGGAGCGGCAGGGACGCCGGGGATGGCTCAGGTGGGTGCTGCCGCCGTGGGGCGATGGGGAGGGCGCTCACGGGTGGGCCTGTGCGCCGCCGCGCGGGCAGTAACCCCTCCGTCCCCACAGGCCGCGGCGCCTGCGGGGGCCGCCCGGCCCGTCGCGCTCCTCGCCGCCGGCACCGTGCGGCCGCCGCTCCTCCGGGAGCCGTGAGGGGCCTTTCCCCGAGCAGCGGAGGCGAACACAGAGACAGCCTGTGGCACCAGGGGGTTGCTCTCCCCGGCGGGGGGTGTCGTGAAGCGCTTCTCCCCCGCCTGGAGCTTCCTCCCCTCAGAGCTGGTGTTTTGTTCAGAGCTTTTTGGGTGGGGGATGTGTGTGTGCGGGGGGGTTTCTTTACCGCCCGCGGTCGCCTGCCTGCTGGCTCCCGCCATGGAAGTGCACTCAGGGAAGTAGAAGGAAAGGGAACGCCATGTCTGTCTATCCTCTCGTACACCCCCTTGTCGGTGGGGCGATGGGGAGTATCAACTCTGGCGGGGGTTTCTGTGCTGCATCGTGTCTCACAGTACAGCCTTAGGGTTAAGGGAGGGTGGGAGGGAGGATTTGGGCTAGACGCATCCGTTTGTACAGGGGAGAAGAGCATGTCTCTCCTCTGCAAAGTTAGGAAGAAGAGGTAACCCTTCACCAACGTGGGTGCGGACCCCATTCACTTTTTCCAGTTCTGGTACGCTGGGATTGTGAAGATAAGGTGATGTGCCTGCCTGTAACTCAGGACTTTTCTTCATTTATTCCTTTTATTAATAGTGAAGTAATGTATCTTCCTCTAAATTATCTTGTTCAGCCTTGAAAAGGTTTATTCTTCTAACTTTCTTTGCTTTATTTGGCTGGAAAAAATAAGTCTATCTTTTGCAACTCTTTTCCTTAGGCTTTAGATTTATCTGTAAAGTCTGTTTGCCCCCTGAGAGGGTGGGACCCCCAACATTCAGGCATCACTGCCTCATAAGGTGGGACTGAGGGCTTGCTGGGTGAACCCATTCAATTTCTTTACACCCTTTGGTTGTGAGTTACAGACATTAGAATTAGAGCTCCAATTTTTATTTTGTAAGCATACCTCTTTTCCCTTCTGTTTAGGTAACTGAACTTAAGGGTTCCTATTATTAATTCTGAATGAGGAGTTTGGTCACTAGTTATTCTGGGCAGCACCTTTTGATTACCAAGATTATTTTGCCTTTTTAGAGAATGAGGGGAATTTAGTTTCTTATCTCTGTTGTTTTTACTGCCTTTACCAGTAAGAAACTATTTGTGAGTTGAAAGCAAGAATATTTTTTTTTCTTCTTCCTGGGCTCTGATTTTCAGGTTTTTTAAAAACGGTTTCCTGTTTTGCGCAGTTAATTGAAACCATCTAAACCCTGCGAGAAAACCAGTCAAGCTGTAAAAGCAGTGATGGCTTTGCTGCTTCTGAGGGTACCTCTCCAAAATTCTGTACTCTGCTTGTCCTGAAATGGGATGAAATCTTACGAACTGTGTAATTTCTTTAGCCCTGTCTGTGTTTGCCACTGATAATGTTATGGTTGGGCCCTGAATATATTTTCTTAGACTGCCTTGAGTGATTGTTTTCTTCAGAATCTTTCTCTATTCTAAAGCTGATAATGAGGAGAAAAATAAGTTCCTGTGTAGCAATTTTGATAGTGAATATGGAGGGTTTGTTCTCATCCACTCTTCCTTTTGGGATTCACTGAATGTGAAGTAAGCAGTTTCTGACAAGGATTCCAGTGCTTTTAAAAGTGATTTTTTTGAAGAGAGAATCTGGGGAATACTGTTCCTTGTTCTTGATTGCAGTTACAGGTATTCATGAAGAAAATATGTTCTTCACTGAACTTATTCGTGAACTGCCAGCATACTCTACAGTGAAGGGAGTTTCTCTTTGAGTTTGAGTGGTGCTGGTTATAAATTTTAAGATTCTGTTTTTCTCCTGCCTTGAAAGAGAGATACACTTTTCTCTGTGTACTTCTGCCCCACCACGCCAATCTGTCTATTCTGATTGCAGGAATCAGCAGTGGTACTTATTAAACAAAGAGGTGTTTGTTTGTTGGTTTGGTTTGTTTTCTTTCTGCCTTCATAGAACATCTGTAAGACAACCAAGCCAAGACATAGCTTTTGTTGGAACCTGTGCACTTTGGTACATTGTCTACCATGTATCCGTTTGTTTGAGTTTACTTTGATGTGAACCTTTTTCAAAATATGAGCAAGCAGTTAAAAATGTGAAATTTGCATGTATTGATGATCTGCAGAATGTGAGCTGTGCATTCATATTTCCAGCAGTTCATCCAGAGTTCCTTCACTGTGTTATGCTGGCAGTTGCAGCTCTCAGTGGTGTTCCTTATCTTTATGAGGAGTCCTTATGGAAACTGTGGATGGAACTTGGTGGAGCCCTGAAGAATAAAATCTGTTCTTTCAGGACAAGTTAGTTAAGGATGGCAGTGGGCAGACTAACTTATTTTGTATTCTAATATTACATATTAACCTAGCTTCATACATGGTTGTTGGGTTTCCTTGATCTAAGGTCTTTTTGGCTGTTTTTAACCTACAGGCTCATCTAATTCATCCTTTCAGGTTTCACCCCTTCTGTCTTTCTTTTAAAATACCTAGTATCTAAGGGGAAAATCTTTATTGGCTTTGTTGTGTGGGTTTTGTTTTTTCCAGACCCTGATATAAAGGGCATATTGTAACAGTGGTTGGCAAGAAAGTAGATGGGAATTAGACCTGTGTTACTCTACTTCTCCTTCGCTTTTTGTGGCTTATAGAAAAGTATTGTAGCCCACTGTAGCTGTAGAGCTGCCAAACTCTGTTATCTTACCCTAGGGATGTGGCAGGTTTATGCTAGAAATACAAAAGCTAGCTTAAACTCATCTTGGTCTACTACTTTTTCTGGCCACAGTGCATGTACTGGTTAGCAGACAATCCCTGGCAGTGAGTTGGTATGCTATTCGTTATTCCAAGGCCAACAAAAACTCCATTGTTAATAGTGCTTGAATATAATCAAAAGATCTTTTCCGCAAAGAGCAGAGGTGTAGTATCAGTGAACTGCAAAAACTAGACTGGTAAATATTTACTGTGTTTGGACATTGGTGGTGTTAAAACACTTTTTAGTGGAGGAGTAGGACATATATCGGGGGATGTGGAAACTGCATTGATGATCGTATCTTATGACTTGTCAAAAATAGTCTTTCTAATTGGAGCAAGTAGCTCCTTGATCATATGGGAAGGTAGCGCTCTTTCAAATTCTACAATACTGATTTCAGTATTTCATTTCTGTGTAAAATAACTCAGTTTGCTCTTTAAAAGAGCCTCCTAAAGACTCCTAAAGTGGAAAAATTGGATTACTTAGACATTTAGTTTCCAGGAGTTACCGAACTTGCACTATGACTTTTGATTATTTTGTTCAGAATTAACAATGAAGACACATTACTTAGACATTTAGTTTCCAGGAGTTACTGAACTTACACTATGACTTAACAATGAATTAACAATGAAGACAGTACTGATTTATTGTGCAGAATTTAACAATTTGTCATTCACCATCTTAATTTCTTTTTTAATCTGAAGATGAGAAAGGGGGGAGGTTATTAGACAAATACATTTCTAGGGACATTCTGTATTACATTAAGTATTTCAGAACCTGTTGAAAGTAGGACTTAATCACTGCTTGGGTGATTGTATGATAATACATTTCTAGGGACATTCTGTATTACATGAAGTATTTCAGAACCTGTTGAAAGTAGGAATTAATACTGCTTGGGTGATTGTATGAACATCTTGTAGGATGGAATGGATTTAAATATGTAAAACAAGCAGTTCTATTGGTGAATGAGCTGGTTTTTGTTTTGGAAGATATGTTTGTATCAGAGAAGATGGGATTATTTTAGAGCTTTTATCAAAATGGCGTATTTTTCCTGAATAATTCTACAATGCATGTCAAACTCAGCATAATGAATGTGTCAGTTTCAAGTATTTTAAAAAAACCACAACACCCCACAAAATATGAACTACTCTGCTGCCCCAGAAAAACTTTATTGCCAGATCACTAAAATAAGAATTTCCTCTGTTATATATTTTGCTTTCTTCCAGCTTCCAGGTAGGTAGCTTCTCTATGCTGTTAAATTTTAATTTCTCCCATTATAACTCCTGATTCCCAGTTTCCTGCCTTGCCCCAGTTGGTGTTTGGATATTGCTGTTCATTTGTTCTGTCTGGGCTGGTGTGGAGATACATTAGAGAATTGTATTTGGCTCCTCTAAGTCCCTCAAGACAACCCAGATATTCTACCCTGTGGCCTTCAAATGTTACACAGCAACACTAAGGACTAGGGCTTACCTTGCTAGAATTTTTGGGTGGGCTTTCCCTATTTCTGATTCAGCCAGCTCTCTGTCTCGGGCAGAGTGACGCTGCTTTATTTCTAGCTGGTAGGAAGATTTCAGCCCAGTTTGGGGTGGTACAGAGGGACTTGGAGAATCCAAAGTACCAGGTAAGAAATTGTGCTTCCTTTCCCCAGGTGCTTAGTCCTGTATAGATGACAAAAGTATAATTGAAGGGACCATCACAGACATGGTAGAAAGAATCCTGTTAATGAAAAGAACAAACAAACCAACCACCACCCCCTGCAAAACCCCGAAACAAACAACAGAACCAAACCATACACCAATCACCTCCCATAAAATTTCATGGAGCAATTGCATATTTTTGCCAAGTTAAATTACCTAAATAAAACATTGCCTTCTAAATGCCTTCCAGAATTAATTTGAGCTTTATCGCTATGTATCTAGACCCAAATTCTTCAGAAATGCCTTCCAGAATTAATTTGAGCTTTATCACTACGTATCTAGACCCAAATTCTTCAGACATAACATATATAATCTCATAACAGTGTGGAATATAAGATCAAATGTCTTG